TGGCACCAATTCATGTTCTTTCCTTTTTTTTTGGGTGGCTGCCCCACTAAAAATGGTCTTCCCCAAAAATGAGACTGTGGATGGACAAAATCCATTTCACCACTTCGAAACCATGGGAAACCATTGTTTGTTGGTATTTGCGGGGGAATCATCATTCCAGGGATTCCTGGGTGGTGCAGGATTTTGTCTATCCGCAGTATTCCTGGCCCCCAAATGACCATGGGCAGCTTTTCCCATCTAGTTGCTGACATATCATCTTTTTGGTGATTGCACCCCATGTTTATGGGACCGTTTGATCAGCCCCCCACTTTTTGGAAAGAGCCGTTTAGAGGAAAAGGACCGCTTGACACTTGGCGTTTTCCCTGAAAAGTTGAGATTCGGCCGGGCCATCCAGAGTAAATGGCAATCATGTTTATGCAGTCCAAGGAAACCAAAGGGGATGGATCATGTTGAGCTTAGGCCCCGACTAAACACCAGGTGAGATTTCAGGACTTCCTACTTTTAGCCAAAATCATTTGGTTCAAGGAAAACAAACACATTGGACCTCTGTTTGCTCCCGCTCCACACCCAGGAGAACTCGTACAGGTTTGTTGCCCCAATCTGCATCCCAACCTGTTCTGGGAACCCTGTTTCTAATCCACTGAACGGGTACTTGCACACCATGGGAACCACAACTCCTTGTCACTAACCACTCAGAATTGAACGGAACTTAAAAACAAATAGGTGCTGATCCCTTTCACAAACAGCATAACATGCTGATTGTCCTTGCATTGCGGCTTCTCATGGCCTAACATGTGAAACCTGGACTCCACGCTTTCCAGGCCCAAGTAGATACTAGAAGCGAGGTAGGCTCGCCTTGAAAGGGGTGAAACCAGCTGCATAGGATCAGGGACTTGGAGGGCAAGCAAAGCCCACAGGTCCAGGCATAGCCAATTAGAGGTTGTTTTGTTTAACTTACCTCTTAAAAACACAACTTTTCAACTTTTTGGGTAACATGGGCTATATGTCTGTAAAAGATTAACTTCCCCAGGGCTTGGTGTTTCAAGGGGTAAGTTAACAGAGGCGGCACCAGGTGGTAATACGCTCCACTAAGCCATTTGTGGGATGAGGGCCTTCCTATCTGAGGATTCGTCAAAGGGAGCGACAAGGTGCTTGTGGATTTCGTGGACAGGACCGCGAGCACCCAGTTGGTTGTCCGCCTACGCTCGGAGTTGGTCACAGGCCTTCTGCGTCGCTGAATGCCCATACTCCGCAAACTGTTCTTGTTCATTCTCCATATGTTGTCCGCGTCCATCGCGACGTTTTGCCGACTCATTGTTTTTTCATTGTCGCGAATTCTAATTGAGTTTCCACCGACGTCAGGTTGTTTTCCCCAAATGCCTTCTCCCGCGTTTTCTTCAGTACACCAAGTCGCTACGAAAAATGTTTGTCTTAAACATTCAGCCAGGGGTTGCTTAGTGAGTCCCGGGCCAAAATAGTGGTTCCTATCTGTAGTGATGGTTCCCATCATTCTGGACAGGAGCATGGAAAGTTGGGTCGAGCAGAAGTCTGAGCTGGAGCAGGCCCTCAGACAGGCAGGGGCTCTGCATCGCTTAAATCAAGGTGCCTTTTGTGCCGAGTTCAGTCGAGTTACACGAGGTTTGGTCAAAATTACGGGTCGTCCATGGTCTACTCGCAGAAACTGGAAAACTCACTACGTACATTGTCTAGATGTCCAATGCCCTCTTCAGGAACAAACATGGTGTTGCATCTAACCAGGTAGTATAATCATGAAGCAGAATTCGAAAGCGTGTTTTTCGGTGTACCCAAGATTTGGGGAAGCCATGGACCCATTTTGCAAAAGACTCTCGGGTTTCAAGCAGTTCCACCTTTCGGGGGCAACTATGAGCGAAAGCCCATCATCAAGGAGGTCGTTTTATACCTGCCCGTCTTGACCAATAGGACTGCCGTAGGAAAGCAAAAGAAAAGCTGTGCTTCTATTTTTCAGTGCTTGAGAGGGCCATGATCAGTCAGTGCATGTTGTTTTTTCTGCCGGGCGGGGTGCAGGGGGGGGGGGCCTTGAAAAGGGGGGGACCCGGCGAGCCTGTCAAACTTTGAAGGTTTTCAAGAAACTGTAGTCGTCAATTTGCTCTTGCTAGAGATCTGATCTGTCAAAATTCATTGGGCATCTGAAAGATGAAATTCGCAATAGAGTTTTCACTTTAGATGTGTGTTTCTCATGTTTGGAGTTTCTACTGGAAGGTGTTCACTCTTCGGAGTTTCTCTTCGGAGTTTCTAGGGTTTGAACTTTAGTTTCTCATGGTTGGAGTCTCTAAAAGGCCGGGAATGTTTGCACTCTTCGGAGTGTGGGTGAAACGCATAAATCTAGGGTGACTCTGGGGAAAGAAATTCAGGGGTGACTTTTGGGAAAGGGATTCAGGGGGGAGGGGGGAGTACCAATCAGGTCCCAATATTACCTTCGGTGGCTTTCCATATCTGCCCCAGAATGCCCATGGGTTCATACCCCTGGCCCCTATATGGGTTCATGCATTCAGCCTTTGAGTTGCAAAAGCCCATCCAGGAAGTGGCCAAACTTTTCTGGGAAGCCTTGAACAAGGATTTGTGCACTTCCATGGTTGTTTATGACAGTGCAGGTTTGTCAAAGCGCCCGTTTTTCCCGGGCCCATGCTCATGACGCCTTTGCTTTGTAAGTTTTGAGCCATGCGCGCCAAGTTTCAAGGGACAAAGTACGGGCTGTGCTAGCCTCCTGTTTTGGGTTCACTAGAGCAGTCAGGATTCAGGATTCAAGCGTCTCAAATTCAGTTGGGACAAAAGGACGGGCCGCTCAGCCAGTTCAGCCCACAGCGACGGCCAGGTGAGAGACTTTGGCAGCAGGGTGGCCTTCGCGACAGTGGACGCCAAATCGGAGGAGGATCTGGCGAAGAAGCTGGTGCAACGGTTTGATGTGATAAAAGGGTTGTAGGCTGCCACTTTTTGTGATAGGGAATCCCCGTGCGATATCCCGGATTGGCACGGTCAATCGGATGAATGCAAGTTGAACATTTGTTGTTGTTTTTACGTTGCCACTTTCTGTGGTACCAACAGGATCCCCATCAAAGTGATAAATCAGTTATTGCAATGGTCCATTGTGAAAGTAGATGCTAGAGTTGGGTGCAAGTAGATTGCAGCAAAAAATCCAACCCATGTTGAATGAGTCATCCCCTTATCCCATTACTTTCTGACAGTCTTGGAATTGTGCCAGCTAGTTTGAAGGCTAACCTACAGTTTCATTTATGGTGGCACTCTGACGGCGTTCATGTTAGGTATGTGTGTTTCCCCTGTTTATGCTTATTTTGGGTTTGGACCTTTAGGGAGGTGAGCAACAAGTTTGCATTTGTTTGCCAGTGCACTCAGGAAGTACACATATCAACCGTTTGATTTTCTGATGTTTCGCGTTTGCAGCTTATTTCCCCTTTGTTACTGTAGCCTTTTGATTTGCGAAGCATTGTGTGATTAACACGCCTAACAGACCAAAAGACAATGCACATTTGTTCAATTGATCCAGACCCACCTATGTTTTTTCCGGCGTAGAACGTGAAGATGTTCTTAACCACTAGCTGCGAGGGGTGGCAATGACCAAGCAACACACAACAGGGCTCCTTAAAAGATACATTTTGCCCATCTGAAACATGGCTTTTTCCACCCAAATAAAGGGAACCCACGATTTACAAGGCAATGTTCAGGTGTCTAATGTAAGGATCCCTGCACAACATCAACGACGATTGCATCGACAAGAATTGCACGGTTGAGTGATTCAAGGTTTGATCCGTGGCCTCGGCAGCCAAGTGCATGGTCGTTAACAAAGTGTCCTTGGGTCAGCTTGCTCAACAATAGATGGCACCGGTTTCAGCTTTCCGTTCTGCTCGGCGAACAAAAGATGGCACCGGTTTCAGTTTTGTGTTCTCACCATTGGGCCAGTGCAATATTTTTTCCAAAATGACACCTATGGCGCTCGGACGCTGCTAGAGGGGACTGTGTCTTAAAATCGGGGACCGCCCCAATTTTGTGAGTGGTTTCCATTTGGGTTCCCCTTCAAACCCGCAAAGCAAGGCCTAGTTCTCCCGACCCATGTCGCGCGACCCCAAACTCATGCTCCAGCTGCCTCCCCCGTCTGAAGCTTGCAAGTCCCGCCTCAGTCCTGTCGCGAATGTTTGCCGAGGAAGTATGTGTCCAATGGCAACTTTCCCCAGCTGCTGTGGCCCCTTGGCGATGGGTTGCGGGGGGCACTTGGGAGCCGAACTACTTGCTGGTGCGATAGGGGATGTTGGAATGAGGCATAGAAACCATCGAACTGGTTTCCTTTAAGGGGACCAAACATTGGGTTCACTCCCTCATTCCCTGCTGAGCACCAGCAAGACTAAGTCATGAATCGTAAGTGTTGAGATCTCCTTTGTATTGGGTAAGCTTCACCTGGAGGTTCAGGCCAAGAGAGGCATTGTATGAACCACTTGCTTGTAGTTCCTTTTAGGTTGTCGTCTGCTTGTTGAAGCTATTCTTGCACCCGGCCTTTCTGGCTAGAAGCATGAAATTGGTGGGGAATCCGGAACGAGTGCCAAATTGCCAGGTCTGGAGTGCAGAGGATGTTGTTGCCACCCACACCACTGGCCTGAGGTGTTGGACTCGCAAAATTCGGATTTGAGACCTCAACCCCAGCCTTCTCCCCAAGACCCTTGGATGGCCCCGCAAAAAGAGACACCCAAAGCAGCTTGTCACAAGGAAGGTTGGCCAAATCCTGAGGGTACGTCTGTGGCATCTTTAGTCAAGCGCGTTTCTGGCCAGCGGTGGTTCGATCCACCTCGACCGACTTCCGAAGCTCCCGCGTCTCTCGCGTCTCTCGCGTCTCTCGCGTCTCTCGCGTGTCTCTCTCTCTCTGGGCGCCCGGCCCTCTCGCCTCTGACCGCGCCAGGTTCACCCACGGGGAGCCGACGCAGTACCACCGGAGCCTGCGCACCGCCAAGGCG